GCCCTCCGCCCACCCCAGGACCCCCACGCGCTCTCAGAACCCCGAGGCTCCGCCGACGGGGCTGTGCGCCCTGCTGGGGGGGCCCGCCCCAGAGGGTCCCCCTCTTCCAACAGACAGAGCCCCGCCCCAGAGGGACCCCCAGGTTCGTCAGGGACATCCAGCCACGCCCCAGCAGGCTCCCAGCATCCCGCGGCTGGAGCCCCGAGCTCCTGAGGAACCTCGGTGCCCAGCTGGGGGCTCCCCGCCCCGCTGAGGGGGCGCCGCCCAGGAGGGTCCCCCGCGCCCCGCGGGCCCCAGCAGGATGCACGCCGCCCTGGCGGGGCCGCTGCTCGCCGCGCTCCTGGCTACCGCCCGCGCCCGCCCGCAGCCCCTGGACGGAGGACAGTGCCGGCCGCCCGGATCGGTGAGCGAGCGCCTGCCCGGCCACTCTCCCGGCCACTCCGGCACTCCAGCCCCGTGGGGACCATGGTTTTGGGTCCTACCTTCTACACTCACCTAAGCCCACCCGCTCCACCTTCGCTGGCTGGGCGCTGCCTGGAGCGCCCTGCCCTAGCTTCTGCCGCTCGGGCTCCAGCTCCGTGCCGGGAGCCGAGATGGGCGCTCCCTCGCCGGCTTCTACACACGCTGACGCTCCCGGGCTCTCCTCGACTTTCGGTCCTGCTCGGACGGTTCCTCTCTGTGCCCTTTTGACTCATTTCTTTCTTGCTTTTATCCTGTCTTCACCCTTCTGTGCCCACTCGGACTCTTTCTGCCGTTCCTTGCCCTCTCCTCTCACTTCCATCAGACCCTTCTCATTCACGCTCTCTGCCCCGTGTCTCTCCTGCCCTCCCACGCTGACCTAAAGCAAACTTTCTCCCTGGTGCAGGTTCCAGTTTGCTCTCTCCAGCCAAGTTCTCAGCACCCACTCTTCCAAGTACCCCTACTTCACAAAAAAGGAGACCATTCCAAAGGAGAGAAGGACATGCTAGCCTAATATTTCTTTGGGGTTGAGTAATTATTGGTTCTCCTAATTTTCCTTCCAAACCAAGGAATCTTGAATTCTCTCACTGCCCCTCCCTCAAAGTATAAAGTAATGCATTGAAAATAACCCTGAAATGGAGGCCAGGGTACCATAGGATAGTTTTGTAGGCTCCTCACTGGCTTCCTGTTAGCGGAGAGGTAGTTGACCTTGGACAAGGTACACCGCCAGTGTCCTGACTTAGGCAGAAACAGGGAGTTTGGTGGCCTGCTGGGTACCTAGAGCCAGTCTATCTCCAATACGCTGGGATTTACAGTTGTTGGTAGTAATTTAAGGTACTGTTCCCTCCACCTACCCTGAAACATACTTTTCACTGTACTAAAATCAGGCAGAAAAATGTTGAGTTGATCTAAAGCTTGCAGGTGCTAAGTGGGCAGACTAGGGTCTTTTTCTGAATAAAAAATGACTTTGCCTGAGAGGAATGACAGTCGCTTTTTCATGCCCCTTAACCGCTGGCCCTAAACTGGATCTGGAGAAATGACCCCTGTTTCCATGCCCCTTCTTCACCCCTACACACACCCTTGTCATCGTAGAAGATGGCAGAGAATTGGAGTTGGAGAGCAGGTACACCTATTTAGGGGAGCAGCCGGGAAAGCACCCAGAACATGTACATTTCTTGCGACTAATTCTATGGAATCCTCTCCTCCCAAACCAGGGCCTGAGACTTCACTTAGCCTGCAGCTTTTAAAGCACTTTATCATCTGTGGTTTCAGCTGGTCGAGCAGAGTAGCTGACACCCAGACCTGCCCTCCAAAAAGAAAACTGTATCCGCCCTGATGAATGGGAAGTCGCTGTTTAAATAGGTGTGCTATTTTTAATAGGTGTTCTGCTTTCAAAGTGCTCTTGGCATGTATCTTCTAATGGATGGATTTAAAAGTTATATGACTTCCTCCCTTCTTGCCAAAGCAAGACTCTTGCCCTCTCCCCGGCTCCAACCCCAATAACACCACGGGTGAAGGTTTGGCTTGGCCAAGCATGAATATTCTCAGGTGGTGTGGCAGACCTTGGCACTCACTGCGAAAGCTAATCATAACCCCTTCCTCTGTGCCTGGAACTGCTCTTAGAGCTTAGTTACATATATTGTGTCTTTTCAGTCTCTCCTCAACCCCCTGAGGTAACTGCTGTCATCACACCCCCCATTTTACAGATGGGGAAACTGAGTGTCTGGGAAGTCAGACAATATGCTCAAGATCATACCGCTCAGACAGGGCAAAGCCAGGATTTGCCTGAAGATTTCAGCTTCCAAAGCCCTTGCTCTTTCCTGTGGCCCGATGTAGGTCTCTGCCTTCCATCCCCATCGTGTTAACCTTGGTTGACTCTGCTGCCGTCAGCCTCACTGCCTTCCTTCCCCTCTCCCCCTACAGCAAAGGGACCTCAACTCCTTCCTTTGGACTATTCGGCGTGATCCCCCAGCCTACCTGTTTGGCACCATCCACGTCCCCTACACCCGCGTCTGGGACTTCATCCCGGACAATTCCAAAGCAGCCTTCCAGGCCAGTGCCCGTGTCTACTTCGAGCTGGACCTGACAGACCCTTACACCATCTCAGCGCTGGCCAGCTGCCAGCTGCTGCCGCATGGGGAGAACCTGCAAGACGTGCTGCCCCGCGAGCTCTACTGGCGCCTGAAGCGCCACCTGGACTACGTGAAGCTGATGATGCCCTCGTGGATGACACCTGCCCAGCGGGGTAAGGGGCTCTACGCTGACTACCTGTTCAACGCCATCGCGGGCAACTGGGAGCGCAAGAGGCCTGTGTGGGTGATGCTGATGGTGAACTCACTGACAGAGACTGATGTGCGCTCCCGGGGAGTGCCTGTGCTCGACCTCTACCTGGCCCAGCAGGCCGAGAAGATGAAGAAGAGCACAGGGGCCGTGGAGCGGGTAGAGGAGCAGTGCCATCCGCTCAATGGGCTCAACTTCTCGCAGGTAGGCACTTGGCACCCGGCCCTCCAAGCTGGGCAGCCCCTGAGCGCCCTTGTCCTCTTCTCCGTCTTCCTCCTCCATCTGCTGGAGCTCTGTCCTTCTGCCAGAGGGAGAGGGTCTTTTGGGTTGTAGGGCAGCTCTCCAGCTGTTTTGGGGATGGTAAGAGGGCCAATCGATGTGTGCTGTAATTGGGGGGTAAGTGTTTGGGTGTTTGCTTCCCTCTCAGTGGTGTTACCTATCTGCCGTGCTTGCCCGAGCAGAAAGAATTTCTCTGGGAGCATCAGAGTGATGAAAACAAAAAGAGGGAGCTGCAAGTTTGCATTCGAGGCCCTGGGTCTCAGGAGCAGGAGGCTGTCCTGAGGCTGTTGTGTGGGCACATCTAGGCAACAGCATATATACAGAGGACACAGAGACAGAGACAGTGCCTGAGACTGGCGGGGTAGGGCAGGTGTAGCAAGTGGATCGGGTGTCTATGGCTTGCTGTTTGTCATTCAGCAATGCCAAATTTCCTGGACCTTTGCAAAGCTCCAGGCGACCCTCGGACTACCTCCTTAGGCTGGGAGAAAGTCAGCCTGAATAGTTTAGGGATTAATAATTTCAGAAAAATGTACTCACTTAAAGGTTGACAGTTCTGATTTCTGAACCTAGAAGTGGGGGCAGGGAGAAGGCAAGAGCTTAGGAGGTTTAAAGTCTCTGGCTGCCAAAGACCTGATCCAGCAAAATGTCATTAAAAGCCCCCGTCTCCATGGGCAGAGGTCACTTGCAATTTACTGGCCCCAAACTCAACTCAGAGGCCCTGGGAACAATGAGTTCATATCTGTGCCTTGAGAACAGGCTGTCAGTCCTGAGATTGGGCTTCAAATCATGGCTGGTGGCTCCTGCAAGGAGGCCCCAAGACCCCAAGACAGGGCTTGGGCCAGTTGCCCCCTTGAGGAGTTAGGCGTGGCCCCTGAGGCATGCTCCTCCATTAAGGAGGCTGCCCCATAAATTGGCAGGGCTAGAAGCTCTACCACTGGGACCAGAACTGCTTGCTGCTCCCGAGATGTTGCAAGCTCTTCACCAGGGAAACAGCAGCAGTAACTGATCCCCCTTCCGAGATCTCTGGCCTTTGTTTTTCCAGGGGAAATGCAATATTGTCCCCGGGGAGGTAAGAAGCTAGATTGATTTGCCGGCCAAATGAAAGGCGCGTTTGTCGGTTCTCCTGCTGGCTCTCCCATAATTGTGGAGTCCTTACCCAGAGGGCCCCGGTGGCAGGAATATTGGGGCAGTTAGTCACGCCCCGCAGGGTTCTGACTACGCCTGACTCCTTCTCCATGGGGGAAAATCCTGTGCATTCTCTGGCCCAGCGCTGATTCCTCTGAACACACCGGCTCTCTCACTCCGAAGTGACTCTTCCCTTGCCAGCCCCGAGAGCTGATATTATCTGTGTCGGGCTCCCCAGCACTCACCGCCCATCTCATTTTGGAGGCAGGCTTGTGGGAGGCCTCTCTGTTCAGAGGCCTCACGTCTGGCCTCGATATCTTTTTTAGGCTGGGGAGGTGGGGGATCCACTGTCACTCTCAACACCCTCTTTGTACCAACCTCAGAGGAATCCGCGAGAGCTGAAGGGAGCACACAAACCCTCTGGTTAAACAGCCCCTGGCTTTAATCTGTCTCTCTTAAAACAACAAAATTATCTTTCTTCGGGGTCTGGAAACACTGCTGTTCAACCAAAGGACGGCTTTCGTAGGTTGAAAACATTTGCTGGAAAGTGTGTGAGGTTATGTTTTAGGAAAAGTTCCTGAGAGCCATTCATCGGCCAGTGAGGAGCCCGCTGACAGTCTCCAAAGCCCATGTTTTAAGATCAAACAGACTCAAATCTCTAGTTTCAAAAATGTGCCCACGCCATTGCCAGCCTGGGCCCACTTTTAAAATTGTTCTTGGGTCCAGCTCCTCAGAAGCACTGGAAGAAGCAAACCCCAGACAAAAGAAAACAGGTTTCCTCTTGGTTCCCTAATCTCTACACACCCTTCACCACCTGCCAGAGAGTCCGACCCCACCAATTTGTCCTGTTATCATTTTGGAGTGAGGCGATGAAATCTCTCTTCCATCCCTGTGGGGCAGCCGTGGGCTAAAAGGAAAGGAAGGGATTCCGGAGACTGGGTGGATGGGGTTTTTAGGGATCCCCTACCCCAAAGTTAGAAATGCAATAGCCTTCTCAGTAAAATTGTATGCGCGCGTGCACAGTTTGATATGAACATCTGTGATGCATTATTGTACCGAAATATCTGTTAAGTGCATCAGATTTTTATTTTTTCTTTCCTCTCAGCATTACTGTTATTGCAAAATATTTGGGGAGGGAGCAATGAGAGAGGAGGGCGGGAAATAGAAGCTTTAAAAGAGAGTGCCTTTGTGTTACGACCTGGGATTTTAGTTTTAATTTAAGTATTTCTCAAATTTTTATATATATATATTTTTTCTGGGCAGAAATACCACATTTTTCCTTGCTAAGTGGAGAAAGGAAGCTTAAAATTTGGGACTCCATGGGTTGGAGGAACTACTGAAAAGTTTCTTCCACTTTTACATAGCTAAGAAGATTGAGCTCATTGACCCTGGTCTCTGATTTCAATATAAACCGAGGGTGCTAGACCCAGTAGCACTAGGAGTTTGCTGTGTGACCTTAGGTAAGTCACTTGCCCTCTTTGGGCCTTGTTTTTCCCATCTGTGAAATGAGATGCCAGGATTAGGTCATCATCCAAGCCCCTTCCAGCTCTGACATTCCATGGGACAGTTACAACCAATTCCACGTGCCTGGCGCCCTGCAGGAAGCTCTGTACGCTTTTCCATTTTGTTGGATTCTCACAACCCTGTGGTTTTCGAAGGTGGGCGCTCAGAAAGGTTGAATGACTCGCCCAAGGTCACATGGCTAATAAGGAACAGAGCCAGTCTCCCTGATTCTAAATAAAGATATGCTTTTCCTGCCACCCCATGCTGACTGGGTAGTTCATGTCCTACAATCCTTCCTTCAGTGCCTTCTTCTGTTACTTCCCTAAAGGACTTGAGGATTTAAAAGTCTACTTTTTGGAAAATTTATACTTATAGAGAAAATTATTTCCTTTGACTCTGGGGCTGGAGTAGGGATGGGGAAAGCAGGTCCTCTAAAGATTTCTCTGTTATATTACAGACAGTTCAGCTCGTGGGCTGAGAGAGAAGAGACTTGCCTCTAGATGATTTTCAGTCCCAGCTCTGGCTCTAAGGCCAATGATTTGTATATAACTTCGGTGTTCCTATCTATCAAATGGGACAGTAGTGACCAGCCTTTCACAGCTGAGCTGGTTTTGTGAAAACATGAGAAGACAACTATGTGTGGGAGGTTATTGAGTGGGTAAAATAACTACCTGAGCTTGGAAAGGAGTCTGGGCTCCAGGACCAAGAAAGACAGAGGAGGGAAGCCTCATCTCTGCCCTGTTGGTACCTTCTCTCAGCAACCATGTCCACTGCCCACCCTTTGTTGAACAGAGTAAAGCTGGGCTAATAAGGAGTGGTGGTGGCCCCTGCCCTCAGAGGTCTGGGGATTCCTGAGCCTTGAGTCCAGGTCTTGTGACAATCTTGGGACTTACAGATTTCAATCAGCTCTGTCACCTGCCTCCAGGGACTGGTACCAGCTGCCACTAATTCTCTGGGTTGATCAGGAGATATCCTCCTCCCTCTAGGGGGCCTCAGTCCTCCCCCACCCATTCAGTGGAGGCACTGGGTAAGAAGTCTTCTAAGTTATGTGGTTCTCTGAGGCATAACGAGAGAGTGAGGATCCTGCCATTCTGTACTTTGCGTGTTTTAACAAACATGCAACATCACTCATCCAGTGTGCGCAGAGCCTGAACACGTGGGCATGGCTGCCAAGGGTATCCAAAATGTCTGTAAAATTCTACAGCCTCACCAGGGAGTTAGAAACCACAAAATCATTTATTGAGCTCTGTCTTTGTACAGGGTACTGCAGTAGACATTGTAAATACATCATCTCATGGAGATGCCATAAGACATATTATCATATCTCTTTCACAGACAATAAATTGAGGCTTAAAAAGGTTAAGTCATTTGGCTGTGATTATACACCAGGCTAAGTGGACTCAGGATAGAGAGAGAGAGGGAAAAGAAGAAAGGGAGAGACAGATAGAGAGACGAGAGAGAGAGAGAGAGAGAGAATTAAAAAATGTTGACATTGATTTTCTCCTGGCTTGTAAATTGGATCTGAAGGTGATTCTAAAATAAGAATTCCCAAAGACATTACCAGATTTCTAAAAGATCACTGTGAAGACAAGACCCCTGACATGAGCTAAGTGTGCACAGTTGAATGAATGAGTGGTCAGAAACCGTGATATAACGATCCTGCTTCCCTTCCTTCCACTATCTAGCATTACTGAATGAATGAATGAATGAATGAATGAATGAAGAGAGACTGCATAAGCCACAGTGAGGCACTCCATGCTTGAACTTTAATAGCCCCACACTTTCATACAAGGACACAAAATATGAAAATCATCAAGCGGGTGGTTCAAATCCAAATCTGGCTTTAACCCTGACCCATTCCCAACTTGCCGGTGACTTTGGGCTAGCTTTTTCCCTCTCTGGGCCTAGGTTGTCCCCTCTGTCCTACAAGAGTATTGGCTAGACAGTATCTAGGGCAGGCCCACTTATGACTTCTGTGGGGCTTGTCTTTGGCTCCCATATCTTAGAGGCTCCGTGCCACCTTGAAGTGTTGAGCCCAAGTTCTCTGCAGCTGGGAGGGGCTGGCAGGCTTGTCTTTGGCGGGCTTCTGCTGATACCTACTTGTCCAGAAGCCGGTTGGTTCCAGTGGGTGATCCTGCTGCCTCTCGCTACCAGTCTGCAAAGCAGAGAGAGCCCCAGCCTTTCTCAGCATAGTCCACTGGATACCTGCCCAGCCTTGGAGCCTTTCGTTCATTAGGACTCCTCTCACTCACTCACTTCCTCACTCATTCAAGCAGAGCATCTTAGTGTCAAGCCAG